ATAGAGAAAATATTTTTCAATTTAGACACAACCAGTTGTGTTTAGGTGGGATTTGAATCATAGAATATGAATCTATATCACAGTGTCATGATTTTGCTGCATTGGATGAACATACAGTATGGGATATGAAAGAAAGAATTTATGCATATAATCAATTACAGACAATCCCATTATTCCATTGTGCCATTCCATCACAGCACCATAAAGACATCAATCCAATGAGTCACAATCCAGCTACTCTGACATATGCAATCTAGAAAATGGAGTGCTGCTATTATTCCATCCACATCCTGGATTCCAACCATAAATAACATCTCAAAAAACAGCATATCACACAATGTCTTCCATAGCACTTGGCCTTAAAAAGTATTCAGAACACCGGTTTCTCTGACTTACTAAGAGAGAGGCTTATTTTAGACTTAGCACTTTTTCTATACATTAACTGGATTGCAGTGGCAAATAATATATATGTATATATATTTTATGTAATTTATGTCTGTACAAAATATAAAAAACAAGCACGATACAAGATGTTTTCTATTCATCGCAAAGATGGAAGAAAACGTCAAACTTGCTTCTGGCTCGCCGTTGAGAAATGGCACTCATGCAGGTGACTTCTGGGAAAGATCTAAGACTTATGATGAACAATATACAGTGGGTATAAAAAAGAATCACCTCCCTTTAAAATAATAACATTTTGACATAACATTCCTGAAATGAAGACAAACACAGTTTTTGTTTTGACACAATTTTGACACAAGGGGGTGATCCTTTTTCCAACTCAGTGATTCTGTTTTTTTATTTATTTTATTTTTTTCTGACATGTTGGTGTTCTATCTTTCACTTGGATGTTATAAGTTGTACTGAGTAAATACAGCTGGTTAAAACAAAAACTGTATGTTTTCATTTCAGGCTGCAAAGCAACAAAATGTGAATATTTTTAAGGGGGTGATTCTTTTCAATACCCACTGTATATATTGATTTACTCTCTATTTGTCACCAATTATAGGTCTTTGCTTGTCAATGCAGTGGGATTAAGAAGTGCACTGAGCTACTTTAAACGAGTCAGTCTCTGTGAAATAGGATTGAAGCCCCTGGGCTAAAAGGAAGGGTTTAACTGCAAGCTCCAGTAGTTACAAATTGGCAATAAATTGATGAAGTTATGGTCTCCCAGAGATGTGTTTTTACAGTATTCTGGGAACAAAAGTTGTTTTGAAAGGCCCCGTAGAATGTCTGAAGGGCCACCAATGCAGTTTGAGAGGTTATGAGGCCCTCAAGACAATTCTAATAAGATTCTCTCACACATACTGTGCACATATGCTGTGCTAAAGTTGCCTTGTGAAAAAGGTTTATTGTACCTAGAACTCTCTGCAGCACAAGAGTGTAGAGAAAGGTGGGAAGTAATATTTGGTAGAGAAACATTTATTCAGCTTGTCTGCTACGTAAAATGATCTGAGACAGATGAGGTTTTGTCCAAATTGCAAATTTTGTCTTGGTGGCATATATACAATAACTGTACAATTTACAGATCTATTTCAATTTTTCTTTAACATTTAAAAAACATTTACAAATTTTTAGATGTGCAAATAATGTATATTTCAAATAAAATTGGCTGACACAGATATGGATTTGTCAAAATTGCAAGATTTATGACCATCTTGGTAGCATCAGTAAGAATGTGTTGTGAATTACAAACTAATTAGTGATAATTAGCCATGTATGCCATCATTTTGTGTATAAAATGTGTATGTACCTCTATTGCTGTTTTGGAGTTTCCTGTATCATTACAATACATTTGAAATTCAATTTACATATGAATTTCAAATTTTCTTTGCAAGGAAAATCTAACATGTAATGAAAAAAGTATTATTTTATAGGTTCAAAAATGGATAATATTTAAAATAATATTATTGAAAATAATTAAATGTAATAATTTAACATTTAGAAGTGTAGAAATAATATTTAGAAATATTTAAAAACTATAAATGCAAATTAAAGCACAATTAACTTATATTTAGTATATTTAAATTGCAAAAATGAAATGAATATACATTTATATAAAGTGTATATTTTTTATTTTATTCATAAAATGTGTATTTTTCTGTGTTGGAAAAATCAAGTTGTTTAATCTTAGCAAGCAGAAAACATCCTTACAGTTGAGCCCTGCAAATAAGCTTATATTTCAATGAAAAAAGTATGATTAAAAAAGATTATTTAAGCTAATATCAGCATTCCAATTGTTCATTTGAGAGGTTCCACTATGGTTAGGATACTAGAATGAAGTAGACAGTAATGCGGCTCGCTGGGTTTTGGAACAGAGCTCATGTGTTAAAAAAGTGGGTGGCTGGGTGAAAGTGAGAGAAAGAGAGTGGGTATCCGCATAACCAGCAGTCCTCCGCACATGACAGAAACAGGTTGGCAGCGTACAGTTTGAGTTCAGCTTAGCATAATTCTCGTCTCAGTCTGTGGCGGGAGGGGGAGCGATGTGGGAACAGGGTGGCATATGTTGCCCCACACCATGTTCTGGCAGCCTGACGCTCTACACACATTTGTAAACTGTGAGGAGAAGGGGAGCAGGTGAAACTACAGCAGTCTGTCTTTCCTGTCACTCAGCAGGGTTTATACTACGCTCCCTGGAAGTGTTACTGAGACTGTCCATGCCAGCGTTTATTCTGAACTTGATGTCTCTATAATGACTGACCTGTGGTAAAAACAGATGGCCACAGTAGGGTTTTCCATAACTGTGGAATTCCTGCATATCATAAAAGTTATTTTGCATGTTTAACTGTCTACAATTAAACTAAGCAAACTTCTTTCCGCGTTTCCACTTTGTATTCACATCAGCACGCACACACACAGATTCTAGCACCTTTACAGAAAGTCTCATGAGCTCAACACTCAGACAAGCAGAATACAGACTGTCAGATGTTCTAAAATATAACACAAAATTTAGAAACAAAGAAAATCCTTTGAGATTACACAAACAATATTCCACATCTATATTCAAGACTATGCATGTCTGACAATGCTGTATAACTTTCTTACTTCTGGGAAGTATATACAATACTTTCAGTGTATTGGAAATCTAGTTAAGATTTATCTTATATGTCATGTGATGGTGAATACTGCCAAGTTCCAAAATTACATGCAAATCTGTGAAAGTTGAGCTGAAGGGAAAAAACAGGCATCTGAAAGCTACCGCTAGCAATCAGTTGGATGGCGTAGGCTAATAGGTCCTTTACCTGCAATCTGCTAGCAATCACATAATTTATTACATGGCACAAGCTGATTGGCCATTGCTGATTCTGCGGCCAGTGAACGTGCTTGCTCAACATTTAAATAGTATGGTTCAGTGTTTGCTGTAAGCTGGCTGCAGCATGCAATTAGAGTTCCTCTAAAACCCTTTACCCCCCAGTACCACTTGTCTAGATCTGCTATCTGCTAGATTTATGTATGCCTATTCATGCATCATATCTTACATGCTCACAGCAGCATGTCTGTGTATCTATTGGCAGTAGCAAGTCCATACTAGCTCTGCAGCAGTCTCTGTAGCAGATCTAGTCTTCCAAGACCAAATACACTCACATTGTAACATCCGTTAACATGATAAAACTATTTAGGGAAATGTCATGTTTGAAATAGGTTTCTGCCCAATTTTATTTCAACCTTTCACTTAATTTTTCTAAATTAGTATTGTGGTAGAGTATGTAAATATTTGCTTTGTTATTATTACTAAAGCTCTCTTTATTTTGTTGCAGATTATTAGACCATTATGCTGCATAAAAAGCCTGTCCAAAATCAGTTTCAGGATGTAGCTTTGAATGCAAACACTGCCTGAGAAGTCAATGGCTTATAGGGCAATAAAGCAACAGGTTCACTTCAAAAAACTCTTAACGTAGCGCACAAGCTTGATAGAATATTTAAATGCTTTTTTGTCATTTGGCATACAAACTGTTTTATGGAAAAGAGCTGATCTGATGTTCAGCATCGCATCTCATTTTATGTTTGGTATAAAGAAGAAAGAAAATGATGAAGATTTGTAATGACGTGGGGGTGATAAAATGACAAAATTGTCATTCTTTGCACAAACTTTTCAAATTAATTGTAATAGCAACTCACATGGTATAGTACATCGGTCCATCCTTCCATGGTGATGCACTGGAAGACTGTGAGGATGGCAAAGAGGATGTTATCGAAATTTGTGATGCCGAAGTTGGGTCCTGTCCAGTACTCCTTACATACTGTTCCATTGGGACACACTCTTGCGGGACGTTCTGTTCCACATGGGTAATCACCAACTTTTTCGCCTGCACACACAAACAAACAAAAACAAAAAATGTATATGCCTTTACGTAGTATGTTACAATAATAATCATTACACATCTGGAGGGTAAATTAATGCAACCACCCTCTACAAACTGGTCAAACACACACACAGTCTCTTTCTCTCTAAGGCATATCACCTGCTGATGTTGCTTATTGAGGGGTGAAGCAAGCAGCAGCTGAGCACATGTTAGCAGCTCAGCTTCTTATTGGAAAACTCATTACCAACACGAGCTAATTACACGCACTGTGTTGAACTGAAATAACTCACACACATGTTACACTAACAAACTGTCAAGATCCCTTACACCATGGACACAGAAGTATAGTACATAAATACACAAACATGTGCACGCACACACAAACACAGCCTCCTGCTGGAATAGCAGAGCTTATGTCCTCATCTTCAAGAGATGTGCTGGTAGCAAGTCCATACTAGCTCTGCAGCAGTCTCTGTAGCAGATCTAGTCTTCCAAGACCAAATACACTCACATTGTAACATCCGTTAACATGATAAAACTATTTAGGGAAATGTCATGTTTGAAATAGGTTTCTGCCCAATTTTATTTCAACCTTTCACTTAATTTTTCTAAATTAGTATTGTGGTAGAGTATGTAAATATTTGCTTTGTTATTATTACTAAAGCTCTCTTTATTTTGTTGCAGATTATTAGACCATTATGCTGCATAAAAAGCCTGTCCAAAATCAGTTTCAGGATGTAGCTTTGAATGCAAACACTGCCTGAGAAGTCAATGGCTTATAGGGCAATAAAGCAACAGGTTCACTTCAAAAAACTCTTAACGTAGCGCACAAGCTTGATAGAATATTTAAATGCTTTTTTGTCATTTGGCATACAAACTGTTTTATGGAAAAGAGCTGATCTGATGTTCAGCATCGCATCTCATTTTATGTTTGGTATAAAGAAGAAAGAAAATGATGAAGATTTGTAATGACGTGGGGGTGATAAAATGACAAAATTGTCATTCTTTGCACAAACTTTTCAAATTAATTGTAATAGCAACTCACATGGTATAGTACATCGGTCCATCCTTCCATGGTGATGCACTGGAAGACTGTGAGGATGGCAAAGAGTATGTTATCGAAATTTGTGATGCCGAAGTTGGGTCCTGTCCAGTACTCCTTACATACTGTTCCATTGGGACACACTCTTGCGGGACGTTCTGTTCCACATGGGTAATCACCAACTTTTTCGCCTGCACACACAAACAAACAAAAACAAAAAATGTATATGCCTTTACGTAGTATGTTACAATAATAATCATTACACATCTGGAGGGTAAATTAATGCAACCACCCTCTACAAACTGGTCAAACACACACACAGTCTCTTTCTCTCTAAGGCATATCACCTGCTGATGTTGCTTATTGAGGGGTGAAGCAAGCAGCAGCTGAGCACATGTTAGCAGCTCAGCTTCTTATTGGAAAACTCATTACCAACACGAGCTAATTACACGCACTGTGTTGAACTGAAATAACTCACACACATGTTACACTAACAAACTGTCAAGATCCCTTACACCATGGACACAGAAGTATAGTACATAAATACACAAACATGTGCACGCACACACAAACACAGCCTCCTGCTGGAATAGCAGAGCTTATGTCCTCATCTTCAAGAGATGTGCTGTGCAGACACAATAGAAAAACATTTGCTCTCCAAGCTCTTTCTAGAAACAGCTTCTCTCTTTTTACCTCTTTCTGTGTCACAAAAGACCTTTAAAAATCACTCAGTGATTCACACTCAGGAGTCAGAGTGCTTGTCTTGCCTGCAGGATAAATCATGAAAACATCTGCTTTACAATGGCAATCAATGATATTCTGCTGCAGGATTATTATTTTAAGGAAAGTGATTACATTTGTCTCAATCAATCGATCATGTGTTACAATAGGATGTACTAAAGTCTGTCAGATATTCATTGGAATTAGGGGTGGGAATCAACAGGGACATGGTGATATATTATATAGATATCTGGGTCATGCATACGGGTGTTAAAACAGCTAGTGTAGATTAGAGCAGGGATTCTGATACTGTTTGATCCAACGAACCCTCAAATATGATGATCCCCTTGCAAAAGACCCCCATCTTAAAATATGAAGGGCAGGGTTTGTGCAGTTTAACCTGTTCGGGGGAAAAAAAACTAATCTATGTACTTACACACCAGAACAAAATGAAATGCTAATAAACATCTACAATTATATTACAAAGATCTGTCATGTCTCTCTCACTCATATTCAGTCTCTAGCTGCAAAGGAAATGCCAGTGTTTTGTGGGCAAATGCCAGTCAGGGAAAAGAGAAGTGGGCAGAGGAAATTTGCATAAACAAAAGAAAGAGCCTGAGAGGAACTCTGATCCAAACAGAGCTCTGCAAAAAACAAAAAACCTTCCAGAGTTGTCTCTATTTAACATACTATATATATATATATATATATATAAAATAGGTTTTGTCTAGCTAAAAGCCTTTATGTGTTCACATTTTGTTTATATCTTGTGTGGGTTTCTTTTTGCTAGTGTTGTTATTATCCTCAGCAGCAGCAAAAATTTGGCTTACCTCCGGCCTTTTTTTCATAATTTATTTGTTTAATTTTTTTGGCTAGTAGAAATTATGAATGGCCAGTAGCTTAAAAATTTAGTAGCCAAATTGGCTGGTGAGTGAAAAAGTTAATTTCAAACCCCGATCCTCAGTATAAACTGATAAGGAGTCGCTTTCCTTGGACTCTGAATGTGCTATTTATTGCGTTACAAAGGGCTGTTTTGAGATTGTGTGCTTTAAAACATCTCTGACTGCAGTGGCTGTAAGATTTATTTCCTCGGTGCTCTCAAAGAAGCTTTTTTGTTTCCAAAACAGGAACTAACCTGTATCCACTTTAAAGCAGGTGAAGTGGAATTTGCCCATGTAGAACTCGACGCCGATGATGGCAAACATAACAATGGCAAAGAAGAGCAGCAGTCCAATCTGAAGAAGTGGAACCATGGCCTTCATAATGGACTTTAATACTACTTGAAGACCTAAAGAGAGAAATAGATTTGGTTACATTTGGTTACATTAATCACATAATCATTACATACTGTCTACAACTTCTAATGTCTGAATGTCTGAACAGGCACTGTTAAATTGAAGAGTACTGTACTGCCAGACACTTACTTGGGATTCCAGACACCAGTTTGAGGGGTCTCAGCACTCTGACGGCCCGCAATGTCCTTAAGTCAAACTGGGAACCCAATGTGGTTAAAATCCTGTCACAAACATACAAACATGCTAAAGTCAACAGAAAGCAGGGACCACCATAGACATGATTAGTCCAGATTAGTGGCCTATGAATACAGGTTGTTTAATTCTTAAATTATTCCATTTGGCCTGCTCCAATCGTGGATATTTGGTTACATCTTTGATAGAAATAATCTCATAATTAAACATAATAATAATAATAATAATAATAACGATAATAATAATAATAATTATTATTATTATTATTATTATTAACAATAATAATAATTTACTAAATGTAAAATAATATAAATAATAATCTAATAATTTATCTTATATATAACATAGATAATATTGACAGTATATTATATTATTTTGATGTACTCTTTTTATTTGACAATAATGAATTATTAAAAACAATAAGTGTTATAATTATCACATTTTATAATATTTTTATTCATTGATTCATTATTTTATGCATTAAATATGAAATTAAAATATTATTTATCTTGTATATAATATAATAATATTATTTAATTATATTTTATATACAATTTTTTTGATAATTAATTTTTAATAAATCATTATCAAATAAAATAGTACATAAAACAATATGAATAATAGTATGTATCTTATGATGACTAATAATAATAATAATAATAATAATAATTTGTTATATTATCAAGTTTCATAATATTCATGTTTTAATAATTGTATAATATTTATTATATTTTATAAACAAACTTTATACATTTTATTTAATAATATAAACTTTTATTCATTTATTCATTATTTTAGGTATTCAGCATTTAATGGGATGATTAATAGGATAAGATGTCACAGGTGTCACTCCATACATTTAATTCTCTGTTTCACACAAGAAAAAAAAAAACGAATAAGCAAAAAAATGTCTTTAAATCTCATCTCGTGGTGTATCAAATAGCTGGATCGCCCTTTAGGTCAGTCGAGTATGGGTCACCATACTTGGCCACATGTCACGTCACACAAGAAAAAAAAAAAACGAATAAGCAAAAAAATGTCTTTAAATCTCATCTCGTGGTGTATCAAATAGCTGGATCGCCCTTTAGGTCAGTGACTCATGTAAGGTAGCCATCACAAGAAAGCCCTCTGAAGCGGATTGTCAGCTTTCGGTGTTATGTGTGCTTATGTTCTGGGAAATCAGCATAACCTAATCTAATCTTATCCCATCATTACAGTGACACCGCTGAGATGACAGCCATTAGATGTTGCCAAGGCAATGTGGCCGGCTGGTGTAGCGCACATGAGCCCATGTGTCCTCAGGAGCACTGGAGTGGAACCAGCCGCACACTGCATGTGTGCAAATGTGGCTGTGAATAAGATCTTCCCATTAAATCACAATCAAAAATTAAACTCGCAGCAGGCAAACTGGGAAGGCTTATATAAAAGTTACAGTTCTTATGTTTGGCAGAGGAGCATCTTTCTTCACTGACATGTGATCTGATTTGCTCATAAGACGAGAAAGAATAAGAGGATGAGAGACTGAAAGAAAGATGGATGTCTGCGAAGAGGGAAGAGAGGATAGCAGCAGGGTTGGGGTGGAGGGATCATGCAGAGTAGCCTACTGTGAGGCTGAGCAGACATGCCCCATTAAATATGATAGAGCTGCCGCAACACCCCCACAATCTATCTAACTCACTACCCAAACAGTGAGGAGGAGGAGGAGAAGAAGGAAAGTTAGACAAGGAGGAAGAGTTAGCAAAGTTTCTTTTTTAATAAAGCTGACCTTTATAGAAAAGCGAAATCCTGTGTGGCGACAACAGCACCATCTGCTGGAGCTGTGCAGTCAGAGTGTGACCTGTACATCTCACAGAGATATTATTCACAGGCAATACATGCTAGGGACTACCAAGACATGAAGACCAGATACTCCAGAGAAACTGAAAATCTCATTAAAATAAACTGTGACATAGTGAATGTGTTGCATCGTTAAAGTTAATTATTGCTTCATAATCAGCATGTCACAGTGAATATTTTTACTGCTGCTGTTGAAAAAAACTACCCAAACATTAGGAAAAGGTTTGTATTAA